AGTCTCAATCCGTCTCCCTGGCTGGAGTGCAATGGCACGATCTCGGCTCATTGCAATCTCTGCCTCCCAATTCTCCAGCCTCAGTTTCCCGAGTAGCTGGAATTACTGGCACCACCACCAGGTCTGGCTAATTTTTGTATTTTTAGTAGAGACAGGGTTTCACCATGTTGGCCAGGCTGATCTCAAACTCCTGACCTCAGGTGATCCACCCACCTCAGCCTCCCACAGTGCTGGGATTACAGGCATGAGCCACCGTATTCAGCCCAGCAGTGTAATCTTATATATGTCCAACATCATATACTAAAAAACAGTAATATTCCATAAACATATACATAAGCCTAGAGGAAATCAAACATTGTAACACCAACTTCCTCTTTTATACCACTGAAATGTGCAAATCATTAAAAGCAGCCTGGAAGGAGAAAATACTTACTGAAAGACAAATTTTAAGTGTCCACAGATGAGAAGCAGTATCACCCTTTTGCTTTTTAGACCAGGAAATAGATGGCATTTTACGAAGGAAAGATTCAACAAAATTCGGCTTTCTTTCCTACCAGCTGCTTGTGACTCACTCTCCACACTCCAGCACCATGAGGACACCCTAAAATCTGCACCCAAGTCTCAAGCCCTCATACCCTAACTGCACAATTAAAGAAATTCTATCTCCAAGTTACAGCAACAGGACACTACATAAAAGCAGGGAAGTCTAGCTTCAGGACAAACTGCTTGGAAGACTAGAATGTAGTTCATTGTAACTTTAAAATAACTGCACTAATTTGTTACTAGTTGAACATTTTCCAGTGATCTCGTTTCCTAACATACTCTATCAGACTTCTGCACTTCACCCACCCACCCTGGATATTTTTACAAGTAGACTAACCATGTGGGTATAAGCATTATATCACACGTCATGAATCTCAGTGTTAACAGAACTAAGTAGTATGCCAAAGAGCATATCATACTCGCAATGCTGTATTTTCAAATTTGTTTAACTTTTATCGTCTGAATTAGAACTTAGTTGGAACTGAATTAACACTGCACAGTGAATAACGACGAACCAAAACAGCCTTTCCCATTTTCAATCAAAAACTGCAGTCTGAAATGGCTTTTGCTTTCTAGTTGACTTACAATGTGTGGCTTAGGGGAAATGTTGGCGCTTTACTAAGGACACTTTTCGGGCTGTAAACTTTCGTTGTTGGAGAAACTACCAAGTTCAAGGGGTGCCATCAGAATCCACTTACCCGATCCTTCATCCTCCAGCTCTGAGCTAAGGATTTGGAGCCTTCAATTTTCTCACAGTGCCTCTTTTTCATAAAAGCCAAAGGTAGGTTCCAGTCTGTAAGATCAGCCTCATCTTCCTCCCCCAAGCCCAGAAGAGGCGACTGCAGCATTTCGGACTCCATCAGTGGGGGAGGGGGTGGGGGAGTCCTTGGCAGTAAGCGCTCGAGAACCTCCAGCCTTAAAAACTAGTGTGTACCAGAATTGGTGAAATAAGAAACAGAAAAACGGAGAATCGAAAAAGAAAGGGATAGAGAGTGCGGAGACCCTTACTCAGGCAAAAAGTCTGAGATCCTTATCTCTAACTCTTGAGCGGGAGGCGGGGAGGGGGCCGCTGAAAAATGGGGCAGCCCAAGAAGCTCCGCAGACACACACCACCCCAGGTCCCAAGCCACTGGCTGCTCCTGAGGCTGTACGTTTCCAGAGGGGCGGCGAGCCGAGCTGTCAAAAGCGTGAGACTTCAGGCCTCACGATGACCCTGCTCTCGGCCTCCAACGCCTCAGCAGATCCGAGGACAGGCAGGCCGCTGCTGGTGCCGGTTCGCCCACTGGGCCGCCTGGGCTGAGGTCTCCGGCCAAGGGATCGGGTTCACAGGGCCCTGGGTCTCTTCTAGCCACTCTCAGCCCTGCGGGTCCCGCACTCGCCTGAGCTGCTGCAACCAGAGCCAGGACCGGCCCATCGTGCTCGCCCGCACCTGGTTCCTCAACCTCACGTCCGCACGGCCTGGCTGGTCCTGGCCTTCAGCCCAGAGGCTCTCTCCTGCCTGAGAACGAGTCCTGAGAAACGGGCGACACGGAACCACGGAAAAAACGGACAATGTGGGCTTATTGGGTCAGGGGAGCTTTGCCCTCTGGTTTGGAGCTACAGTGAAACTCCTCTCATCAGCACATCAAGGAGGACGCCATATTGCCAGGACCCAGAATGCACCGCGACCTACGGCGTGGCCGACAGACCAAACCTCCTCAGAGCGTTCTCGCCGCGCCACCAGCATGCGGCGGAGGAAGGGGAGTCCCCGACCCCGTTACCTCGGTTACCGTAATTCCATTTTCCCCAGTTCATCGCCATTCGTTCAGTAGAGGCGTGTTATTAAAGTCAATCCTACAAATGAAACTGTCAGTTTAATTTATTTTTTCAAAAACATTGTTACAGGCTCCTGAAATTAAAGGAATCGACCACCTTGTTTCTTCTAGATTTTGAAAAAGCGGCAAAAGCTTCAGGAAAAAACATTTATAACATTAGGAAAGATAGCACTTTTTTTTTTTTCGTGTAGTAGCCTCCGCAGTGTCAATCAGATTTTCTCTTTAATTTTTCATAGGAAACCAAGTGAAAGGTCGGGCACAGTGGCTCACGCCCAGCACTGTGGGAGGCCGGGGCCCGCGGATCACGACGTCAAGAGTTCGAGACCAGCCTGGCCAACATGGTGAAACCCTGTCTCTACTAAAAATACAAAAATTAGCTGGGCGTGATGGCGCACACCTGTAGTCCCAGCTACTCGGAGGCTGAGGCAGGAGAATCGCTTGAACCCAGGAGGCGGAGGTCACAGTGAGCCAAGATCGAGCCCCTGCACACCAGCCTGGCGACAGAGCGAGACTCCGTCTAAAAAAAAAGAAACCAAGTGAAAAAAAAATTCATCAAATACTTTTTTTTTTTACTTAATCTATCTCATTTCTGAGAGTTTTGTCCTTTTAAATTTTTTCCCACTTCTTGGTATCAGCTTATTCTTATGTTGATATAGCTTCACGTGCAGACATCTAAAACTCCAGATTTCTGTGCGTGGAGGCAAGCCGCTTGGGTGACTCTCTTTTTCAATTCAGGAAACTTGGCTCATGTACAACGTACAGAGAACTGTGTAAGTTGGAATATAAACCCGAATGTAACATGCAGTGCCTGCTTTGGCTAAACCGGATGTCTAGTGTGCCACGCTGGAGGCCGACCAGCAAAGCCGGGGACAAGCAGAGAGGCTCATTTCCCCTCTGCGCCGGGGCTTTGGCATCGGGACAAGGCAAAGACGCTCATTTCCTTTCTGCACTGGGACTTTGGTGTCAGAAGCACCTGGATTCTCATCCTGGTTGTGTGGCTTTCTAACTCCATGAGCTTGGTTAAGCCCTTCACTAGCTGGGTCTTAGTTTAGTTTCCTCAGCTGTAAAAGTGGGCTCATTCTACCTGCCTGGAAGGAGAAGATGAGCTTGTGAAGGTGCCTAAACACCCAACAGATGTTCTCTCCATGCAATGCTCTGTAGCAGCAGTGAAATCTAGCAACTCTGTGTGACTTTTTTTTTTTTTTTGAGACAAAATCTCATTCTGTCACCCAGGCTGGAGTGCAGTGGCATGATCTCGGCTCACTGCAACCTCCACCTCCCGGGTTCAGGTGATTCTCCTGCCTCAGTCTCCCAAGTAGCTGGGACTACAGGTGCACATCACGATGCCCAGCTAATTTTGGTATTTTTAGTAGAGACGGGGTTTCACCGTATTGGCTAGGTTAGTCTCGAACTTCTGACCTCGTGATCCACCCACCTCCACCTCCCAAAGTGCTGAGATTACAGGTGTGAGCCACCGTGCCCGCCCCCCCTGTGTAACTTATTAATCCAAAGTCTCAGGTTGGACTCTGGAAGATACCCTATCTCTCAGGATGGTTTTCTGGGGCTTAGACGAATGTGGCCATCCATATCAAAATGTTGTTGACATTTGCGTTCCTTTCAAAATGAGAATGAAGAGTACAATCCCAGACCTTTCTCACCCAGCACATAGCAAGTATTTTAATAGAGGCTGTAGGATTAAATCTTTATCATCCCAAACATTCATTTGGTTATTACATCCCACGGAGCCGACTCGCCTGTTGAAACTCAGTGCACCCTCTGTGTTGGCGGAGAGACTCTCCTCACAGTCACCAGCAGAGGCTTCAGGGATGCAGGGTCTTAGGAAGACCCTGTTCTCATCTGAAGGCAACAAAATAACTCTGGTCCTCTGCCTTGTCACCTTGCCCCCACCCCCGGTGGCTGCAGATAGCTATGCTCCAGCAGTTCTTGCAGGAAGCCACAGTTGCAGAAAAGCAACGACACTAAACCCGTTCATTCCTAACTAGCTCTGTGACCTGGAAAAGCCCACTGAATCTGTGTGAGACTCAGTTGCCTTACCTATAACATGCATGATCTTGGGAAATCTATTTTTCTTAGCTGAAATTCTGAGTGAAGATAGTCAGCACGCTGAAGTCCAAACCTAGTAGGTGGTCAGAATCACCCAGGAAGCTAAAAATCAGGATGCCCAGCTTCCACTCCAGGCCCCCAAATCGGGGAACAGGGAGACTGGGATTCAGAATCTGCATTTTTTTTTTTTTGCAGTTTTTACAGTTTTATTTAAACACAAAACGTCCACATGAGCTGTCTACTCATTTTCTTCACTGCACAGTGTGACATTGGGGTTGGTGAGTCTGATGGCCGGCTGGGCGGCTCTTTCCACGATGGCTTTGTGGTTCCTGGAAGAAACCTTGTGAGCGACCTCAGCATCGTAAGGTTTGCTGCGCAACAGCCGCACTTCCGGCTTCTTCGCGTGGTGGACCAGGAACTTCCAGAAGCTACTGGGCAGCACGTGTTTTGTTCTTTTGTTGCTCCCATAACCAATGTTGGGCATCAAGACCAGATGGCCCTTGAACCCTCTACGAACCCTGTTGTCAATACCGCTGGGTTTCCGCCAGTTGCGCCTAATTTTGACATACTGGTCAGACTGGGGCCAGGTGACCATTTTTTTGATGATCTTGGGCTCCACAAGGGGTCTGAGGGCGGCCATGATGCCGAGGAGGAGATGGCTGCCACATCCGTAGGCAGCACCAAGGAAGAGAGCCAGAACCTGAATTCCTAAATCAGGTCACTCTGATGGTAGTTCACAGACAGGCAGACTTGGAGGTCTTAGACAATATTAGACGAGTCTCCCACAGGGATTCAGTTCAGGTCCCATAGGGGGCCCTCGATCAATATCTGTGCCAAATGAATGAACACTATGAAGTCATTGTCCAAACTTCCATTTGACAAAGCAGAATGAGACTCACCCTCTCCTCAAAACAGCAGAGGAAAACATACCCTCTACTGTTGTGTTTTAAGACCAAGTATCGCTCTGTCACCCAGGCTGCAGTGCCGTGGCACCATCTTGGCTCACTGCCACCCCCACCTCCCAGGTTCAAGTGATTCTCCTACCTCAGCCTCCCAAGTAGCTGGGACTACAGGTGCGCACCACCACACCCAGCTATTTTCTTTTTGTATTTTTAGTAGAGACAGGGTTTCACCGTGTTAGGATGATCTTGATCTCCTGACCTCATGATACACCCACCTCGGCCTCCCAAAGTACTGGGATTACAGGTGTGAGTTACCGCACCTGGCTACCCTCTGCCATTTAACAGATGTGACCCCAAACCAGGAGGCCACTCAGGGTCCAGGTCCTGGACTGAGGATGGAGACACACACACACACGCGATGGTCCCCAGCCTGCCACCAATTCCTGTAGACCTCAGAAAAGCCTCCGTCCTCCTCTACCCTCAGTCTCCACATCTGTAACGTGAGAAACTTGGAAAAGGCGAATTTCTAAGGATCCTTCCAGTTTAAAATTCTGTGATTCATGTAAAGACCAGAAAGGGGCTTGTGACTGCCCAGCTCTCACCCCGATGGTTCAAGAATGGGCTTGAATCATTTCATGGCATCTTGGCATTTAAAAGAAACCTTGTTCCAGTATGACGCAGATGTTTCTCTTCAAGTCCCAGCCAAGCATTTGGAAGTGGCTCTAGGTTTTTGAAAGGCAGAGAGCATCTGTGAGTAATGGCAGGCTGGAAATTCAAGAGCTGACCTTTCTCACCTGGGTGATTCCATGACCGTGGCAGGACGTGGGCTGGCCGCTTGGGGTTGCAGTTCCAATTTCCAAGGTCTCCACCTCTTCACAAGCAAGGACATCTATTTTCCACAGAGCCTCTAAATAAGATAATCTTAATCTTTAATCTTAAAAACGAGTGTTAGGAATCTCAGAAAAAAACACAAAGCTGGTTTGATTCAAGCTATGAAAATGGTCATGATCAGCCTGGGCAACAAAGTGAGGCCCTGTCTCTACAAATACGTGTGTGTGTGTGCGTGTGTGTGTGTGTGTGTGTGTGTGTGTGTATTTGTATATATATATTTACGCCTGTAGTCCCAGCTACTTGGGAGGCTGAGGCAGAAATTTGAGCCCAGGAATTTGAAACTTCGGTGAGCCATGATTGCACCACTGCACTCCAGCCTGGCCAGTAGACCAAGACCCCATCTCAATTAAAATAAAATAATGCAGAAAGAAAAAAAGAAAGCAGGGAGGGTGTTGGTAACAACAGCTCATGAGTCTTTTACGGTCACTTATTCAGACTCGAATCCAGCAGTGTTTGTAAGACCACACACCACGGAAGCAGGCTGCTGCTGCCGTGAACGTCAGCCTGCACATGTGGGGCCGAAGGGGGTTCCAGGCCCAGCTATGATCCAAAAAGAGTGGAACAGACCAGGCGCAGTGGCTCACGCCTGTAATCCTAGCACTTTGGGAGGCTGGGGTGGGAGGATTGCTTGAGCCCAGGAGTTTGCGACCAACCTAGGCAACATTGAGAAACCCAGTCTTGACCAAAAATCATTTTTTTTTGGAGATGGAGTCTCACTCTATCACCCAGGCTGGAGTGCAGTGGTGTGATCTTGCCTCACTGCAAACTCTGCCTCCTGGGCATAAGCAATTATCCAGCCTTAGCCTCCTGAGTAGCTGGGATTACCACCATGCCCAGCTAATTTTGTATTTTTAGTAGAGATGGAATTTCACCATGTTGGCCAGGTTGGTCTTGAACTCCTAACCTCAGGTGATCCACCTGCCTCAGTCTCCAAAGTGCTGGGATTACAGGCGCGAGCCACCACGCCCGGCCTCAGTAAAAAAATGGTTTAAA